TTGGAGATTTAGATAAAACTCGAATAGCACATGATAATTATACTACATTTGATTAGGCAATAACAGGCCATGTATAAACAAGAAATGGACAAATGTTTCCTTCATAAAACAAACTTCTACTGTTTTTACTGCAATAAAAATACATTGGAAGAGGGCTTGGCTCATCAGTGGGTAAACCCTCTTAGCGGTTATGTTAATTTACCAGACCGCTTCTGTTTTGTATCGGACGTAACAATTTATTCCGCCTTCTACATGCTAACAGGTAAGTTTTTGTATCGGACGATTCTGTTTATATATGATACACTGAAGTGTGGAATCTCAGAAATGGTATTTCAGAAAACTATGGACATAAGCTTTTAGAACAGTAGAATTACATATAAATACTTGCATCGAGCAATGCTCATCCGCAAAAAATAAGGACAAAGCAGTTAGGCAAAATTAATTATAAGACCATAACGCGCCATCTATAAACAAGGGATGAAAACATTATAAATCACGAATTCATTGCCGTAAGGACAGTGTAAGTTTGTTTTATGTGTAAAAGAAACATTCGTTATTTAATTCTCCCATATCCTATACTACATTTTACCAAATTAGAAAATAGAAACTTAGAGTGTACAAATAGAAGGAAACCAGCGGTAGAGCAAAGATGATGACATAGTCACAGAGAGATTGAAATTTATATGAGGAAAATCCTCCAATTTAGTGCCGAAAGCTTCTCTTCCTAATGACAAGGATAATCTTCTGCTCGGAGATTACGGCTCGGATGGTTTTTATTGATTTTCTTTTCCCTATCATAGAGGTGTGTTCCGGCAATAAACCGGGCGATCTTATCTGACATTATAAATCTATAGTGATATTTTACCACGCGATAACTTGCTATTAGAACGAAAAAAATAATTATTGTGGAAAGTTGGTAATTATATTAATTCTGTTTTTGTATTAGTTACTTTTCTTGTTGACAGGGGGCGCCCACAGGCAACAAGCAGTTCTTCTGGTGTTACCCTGTAGTTCGAGTTTACTCGGTAAGTGGCGTGTTTCGCCAATTTTTTACCTTTACTCTCTATATAGGAAAAATAATAAAAATATAAAAAAATGGTCGGGTGAAGATATTAAAAACAAAAGGGCATATTCTGACCTCTCGCATGAACATTTTTAGATGGCAGAGCGCCATCTAGTGGAACAAAAATCAACTAAACGTTGATTTAATTTGTTTCATGATATTGAGCCAACCCAATTTCTTGATAAATCAAGAAAAGCACACCATGTACGCGTTTCGGGTTTTTGACCCTCGTCAGCGTGATGAAGGCTGTACTTCTACTACCAAAAATATGGTCCTAGAGGCTTCCTGAGAAATCAGAAAGAAATGGCTTTCTATTTTTTAACATATAAATTTATATATGTAATAAAATCAACTAATGAGTTTTTTATTTTTAATTAACAA